TTAACCCTCGAGATCGCGTGACTCACCCCCTCCGTTTGACCCTCATGATAATTCGCACCCCAGTTAGACCCCCGTTATTATGGCATCCCCCTCGCCCAATGTCCCTTGTGATCGCTCCACTAGCGGCGGAATATTATTCCGGGATCAAAGATGAAATATACCGGAATCCAAAATAATATTCCGGAATCCGGTATATCGTATACCGAAATTCGTTATATCATGTCGGAATTAGGTATATTATTTCGGATTCCGGTACATGATATATCGGATCCCGGAATAATATACCGGATTATATCATATCCCGGAAATCCGGAATACACATATTCCCGATTCCGGAATATTGTGTACGAGATTCGAGGATATTTTTTTTCCGTGTATAGGATGGTCATTAGGATGTTTTCTGTCAATTCTCCGAAGTTTTGTCACCTTTGCAAGGACATTATCAATTTATTTTTTTTTCAATTCTTAACGTGATTTTTGCAAGGGGCTTGAGACTTCCCTCTCCCAAAGACATTTACAGAGATATTTAGTTGTATTGCATAGAAATATGCGGTTTAAAATAAAGAACAAAAGATACATGGAGTGATAAATAGTGGTTTTACATTGGAAAGTATGGGATGTAAGTAAACAATTCGATGGATGTGATGAGAGAGGAAAAAGTTAGGAGGTAAGAGTTATTAATAATAATAACTTATTAATAACTTATTATTGTTCACATGAAGTCATATTAATGGAGATATGCTGAAACCCTCCAGTCGTCGTTCCCGGATGTTTCTATGCGGAGGGTTTTATCAATTTAACTAAGAATAATTTCCTTCAATGAATTAATTAAGATCCGATGATTAATATTTCTCCGCTCCTGGCGAAGAAGAACACCCGAGTGCGGTATCCGGGATGTCCGCTCAATATTTCAAACTTCTATCACCTTTTGGGAGGACAGTGATAAACTTAGCGGAGAATAATTTCCTCAATTGATTAATTACAATTCGTTGATTGATTTTTTACCATTATTTAGAGGTAAAAACACTGGAGTGTTGTGTTTGTAACATCCTCTGAATTCGTCAAAGCTTTGTCACATCTGGGAGAATAATTATCAACTTAGCTGAGGATAGATTCCGTTGATGAATTGTTAAAATTTCTTCGATCTCCAACGAATTTCTCAGGAATTTGGCGGAGACGCGATCCAACCGCGGAAATGTGTTCGCCCACCGCCCTTTCAACTTTCACTCATATAAAAAAAGTCATGACAAAATATGCGTCTTTTCGCCTAGGGGACATTTTTAGATTGGAACTTTTTTTTCCTATCTCCAATCGTTTTTGCGATATCCTGTTTTAAACACTTGAATTGTTATAAACAAATAGACGGCGAATATTTTCACAAAAACGTTTAACATACATCCAATCCTAAAATTTTCTGGACATCTCAATGGACACAAAAATTCTAAGAGAATTCTAAGAGAATTAGAATTTAGAGAGAAAAAATTTCCGCTTCACCTAGCCGGGAATCGAACCCGGGTCTCCCAGATACGCGCCGGGCACTCTTACCGACTAAGCTACCGGGAACCACAGAAATTCACTCTCAAATTCACCTCAAACACCG